ACAATGTGTTGTTCTCTGTTGTGTTTTTTTATATGTCACCTGTTTGTGCAATAAAGTATTTAAATATAAAAAAAAACAAATTACATCATTAAATTACTTTTCTAATTGTCTGAAAATTTATTTAATAACTTAGAAAATTAATGTTTTCCTTTAAATCTCATCTCAAAGACAACAGAAATTAATTCCTATAAATTTAAGTCAAACCAGGCTTTGAGTTTATTTACAAAAGTCACTTAATTATTAGCATTTTAATAACATACAAAACATTCTTTAGTTAAAAAACAAAACTACTCTGCAAAACAATTACAAATATGTATCAAAAGATGAAACAATATATTTCATTGTAATTAATTCATTTCCTAAATAATTCATTATCAAGCATGTTCAATGGTCTTTATAAATAAATAAAAGTTGTCTTCATAAATGCAATCTTATTTAGTTGGAAATAGAATTAATCTGCAAAGTATATTTGTATAACAAACAAAGAATTTAATTAAACTGCTTCTCTGAATTGATTACATCTCTAGCCGAACTCACAGACACACAACTCACATATGAATTTTCATTTGTCCACAAAGAGTGACACTGAACTAAGCAGCATTTTCATATAGAATCAATAGATATCAGCAACTTTATCTTAAACATCTTATCTTAAAAAAGTACAATAACATGTTTGTAACTTGGAAAATAAAAAGTGCAGAAAATGGACAAGCATGAATCAGTCATTTGTGGTTATTTCAATACATAGATATCAGTGATAAACATATCAACTTACCCCAGAACCCGGATGTTGGTTTCAAATACAGACACCACGATGTCATTATCCAAGCGTACATCCTTCACCACTCGCCTCACCGCCTCTTCAAATTCCACCGTCTTATTTAACAGCTGTGAGATATCAGAGAAGATTATGAGCAAACAACCTCGGGTTTGACTGTACATACTGTATACACAAGGTTTCAAGTTTTGTTTGAGATGTTACTCACCGCAAGGGTGTCAAGAGTATCGATGAGCGTGAGGGAGAACCTGAAGGAACAAAGGAACATATTTTCAATATTAAAAAAAAAAAAAAATCAACATGTCTCCATTTTACTTTTTTCTCCAATTAACGTACTTCCCCAGGGCATCATCTACGTCCCCTCGACTGGGCTCTAGTCCACGTACTCGCCCACGGCAAGTCAAAGGCATCAGTTCGTCTGCAGGGTAAGCATGGTCCTGTGCAAATGAGAAGAACAGAGATTAAATGAGAATGCAGATTTTTCTCAAACATTGATATGCATGCCCTATCCCCTATTTTTTTCTTCGAAAAACACACTTATTGCATTTCAGTCTCATATATCACTTCCAGCCTGCCTAGAGACACTTTTGGGAATACCAGGTGTTTCTGGGAAATATTTTACACTTGTCAGAATCATTAAGCTGCAAACTAGCTAAGTTTAAGAGATAGCTCACCCATAAATAATAACTATTGGATCATTTCACTACTTGTTGTCATCGTGAATCTATAGCACTTTCTTTTTTTAGTGAGGCATGACGATATTTTAGAAAATGTTTAAACTGTTTTAGTTCATACAATGAAAGTCAGTGGGTTTAAAATAACATTTGGCAATCCTGGGTGGATGGATTGAAAAACATAACAATAAAAACAAAAAACGTAATAATATGCAGCAGTTACACGTTAAGTGTATAATAACAACAGCAAATTATGCAGAATTACATGCAATTAACACTAAATCAAACCTCACCCAAACATAATTACAACCGCACATGAAAATAAGTGACCAGAAATGAGTAAATTTTTTTTAAAGCTCTTACTTTAAAGTTAACATTTAAGTAGTCAAAAGCAGTAAATACATTTCTAATGTTACAAAAGATGCTTTTATTTTAAATAAATGCTGTTCTTTACTGCTCTCTATTTAACATGAACCAAGAATCATTGGTGTTTTTAAGAAATCAACAACCATATAAGCATAATGACCCCTGAAGGATCGTGCAACACTGAAAACTTAAGTAAAGTCAAACATATGAATATATATGCATAAGAATGAACACAAGTGAAAACATAAGTTTCAAAGCCTCTGTGTGTACCCATCTGTCAACAGTTATTAGTCATTGTGTACATACCATGTAATTCCGATAAGCGTGGTCAAACATTTCCAGCACTTGGATCCTGAGAAGCAAATGGCAATTCTTAAATTCAGTAAAACACTTTCTAATCATATTCCATGCTTCACAAGTCCTCACACAGACACATACCTCAGTTTGCTCTTCTCGTCTCTGCTCATGGTCTCCGACAACCTGATACAGGTTCCCATAAAAAACAGCAGCCAAAAAGCAGGCAACATCGTTGCAGAATGAAGCATCCACATGGCTCTAATCCAGTTTACCAACCTTCACATAGATGAAGACAACCGGTGCAGGTGTCCAAGTCTAAGTCTTTCTTGCTTTAGATGCGTTTATTTAGCACCAAGCCAAAGTCCATCCACCTCAGGTCCATCATTTTCTCCAATTTAATATAGAAATATTAAATGTGGCCAGAGTACATTCAGTAACAACCACAACATTTGAATACATTGACAGGTCTAGCTCAATTACCTCACAGTTCCTGTTCTTATCTAAACGTCTCACTTGGATGAATGCAGCTCTGATGCATTTCTGAGATGTTTTCCGTGTCTTTATCAAACTGACTAGAAAAAGACGAGCTATAAAATCTTGTTTTCCTTCTTTTTGTTAAGCGCTGACCCAGTCAGCTGCTGTTTTCACACATTACTGTCACCTTGATAACACGTTGGCACCCATGTGACCTAATCTCTAACGAGAATTACCTATAAAACAACAGCAACCAAAGGGCATCACTGTGGATCCCCAGCAGAGACGGGCTCGAGAGGAGCTCCGGATGGGGCCATGGAAAGAGATGCTCTGCCTCTAATAGCAACCATCACGAGGTGCCACGATCAGCAGTGTACATCCCCAGAAGGAAGCGGATAAAAACTATCGTATAGATTCCACTACAACAGATTTAAACAGTTAGACAGTACACGAGTCCCAATGCCATCTTCTTGATAGCTCAAACTATATATATATATAAAAACGACGCAGCGTTATATAGGTTAAAAATAGCCAGCAAAATGTTGTTGTCGAGAAGATTTGATGAATCAAAGCATTCATTCACCCTCCACGCTTTGTTGTTTAGCTCACCGGCTAACCCTCCGATGACAGCTCGCCACTAACGTTACTGGACATTTGTTATTGAGGCAGAAACGCTGCTTTAACTAGTGGAAAGCCCAGCTTAAATCTGTTCTTCTGTCGTCCATTGTTGACTAGAATATCCGTTCAGCTCCCAGACTCTGATTAATTTAAGATATCCAGCGTATGAGAGTTTTTATGTCAGGTGTAATACAAAGGGCCAGAGTTCTCTCTCTCAGTCGCCCAGTGAATGATGAGCACTCTTCTTACGACAGATCATAAGCAGACGTCAACATCCGCATCCGGGTAGCCCGAGAACACGCCCCGTCAGCACCGTCAAAGATGTCTTGCAGAAACTACATTTCCCAACATGCCTCACAAACAAGCTTTAAGCGAATAATAATAATAATAATAATAATAATAATAATAATAATAATAATAATAATAATAATAATAATAATAATTAATTTACATTCTTTAGCACACAGTCTGAAGTTATTTTAGTAATTATTTTTAAAGGTGTGATTTTAGAAGAATAAATGTTATTTTATTTACGTGATTTTTATAATGTACATTTTTATATGTGATGAATTCATGTATTTAGTTTAATGATCAATTGTAAACAACGTGTTAAAATTTTGTGAACTGTGGAGTGTCATCAGGATATGTAAAACACCATCTATGAAATTAGCATTACAAATGAGAAAATTCAAACTCTACTCTCTATTACTGTAATTAGAACATATTTTCAAACACATCATTATTATTATTAATATTAATATTATTATTATTATTATTATTATTATTATTATTATTATTATTATTATTATTGTTGTTTCCCAGAGATGGGTTGCGGCTGGAAGGGCATCCGCTGCATAAAAACTTGCTGGATAAGTTGGCAGTTCATTCCGCTGTGGTGACCCCGGATTAATAAAGGGACTAAGCCAACAAAAAATGAATTATTATTATTATTATTATTATTATTATTATTATTATTATTATTACTTTTATTGCTACTACAAAGCATTTGCCAGATTATTAAATGTTGATAAATAAATATATACTAAATTATTTGAATAATATAAACTATAAAATTATGTCATATAAACATTTGACATTTTTCTAAGTGTATTAAATGTAAATAAATATTTTAATTATACAAAATAAACAAAAAAAATATGTAATATTAAAAAATGTTTAGTTTTTCAGCAATTCAGAAGTTTATTTTAAACATTATCCTTTTAAACTTTTTATTCATCATTTAGTATCTCAATTATGTTAAAATAAGTGCATGAGATAAAACAATAGGACAGACAGACCCTGAAAAATCCAATAAAATGAGGATTGATGACATCATTCCAAAGAATATTTGGAAGTGCATGGTAAAAAAGTACAAGTAACTATTAAAAAAGTAAGTATGAGCTTTTTTATTTATTTTCTAAGTTTTTATTACATTATATCAAATTATATTATACATATTTTTTTTATATATATATAAAAGCTCATACTTACTTTTTTAATAGTTACTTGTACTTTTTTGCTGGGAAATATGGGAAATAATTTAATAAGCTCATACTTAACATTACAGATAAATCAATTCACCCACTTTCAATGGTAAATTTTTTCAGGTGAAATATAATTTTAACTGAATATCACTTGAGGAAAAGTTAAGCAACGTTAGAGGTTTTTGTTGACGCAGCAACAAGTTTTGCGTGCGTACGCTTCCTCTCTCGCGTGCATCACATGATTGCCCCGTGCAGTGACGTCAAACACAAACAAGTACAGTTCAATGTTCAGTGCGCTGAGAGAGACAAGAGAATAATACTGACCGTGAGAGGAAGGTGAGCGACAGGCTTTCATATATTTACAGAATTCAAATCAACTGGTTGGTCAAGTTTAATGATCATTCGTCCATAAATAATGACTTTTTAGAGCTATGTAAAATGTGTTTGCCTAAACAGATTGTGTGGAATGTAGCCGCTGTGGAGCTGATGATCAGTAGATTTGTGTAACGTTAATTGCTGCTTTTGTGTGCAGAAATGTCTCAACGCTTCAAAAAACTCACAGGGCTCGTGGCAGCTACATTCACTCCACTCACTGCAGAAGGGTGAAATACTGTAGTTACTCACAAAAATGCTTTACAGAATCATGCCTCTGTGGTTTGATCATTGTTCTTCAACTTCTCAGGGAGATCAACCTGTCTGTAATTGCAGCGTACGTCGATTACCTAATAGAGAAACAGAATGTCAAGAGTGTGTTTGGTAAGTCGATTGTTTTAAGGACTAAGGGTTTCGTTTTGCTGGTTAGTAGTCTAAATCAGCTTTTTTTTTTCTTTTTCTTTTTTTTGTAGTTAATGGCACAACAGGTGAAGGCTGTTCTCTGACTGTAGACGAAAGGAAGCAGCTTGCTGCAGCTTGGTGCCAACATGGAAAGGGCAAGTGAGTTAAAGCACATTTATGGTGTTTATTCAGCTGTGAAAAATGATCATGCCACAGGGATTGTAAAAATATTTGAATTGTAACAGAATATCGCCAAAAGAACACTTGAAATACATTTACTTTGGTAATTACAATTCATTTGAATGTAATTACATGCAACTAACCTTAAGCAGAACCTGTATTCTAACCTAAAACCACACGCAAGTATTACAAGTATTAAACTACTAAGTAGTTAAATTAATAGTTACACTGTAACAAATACACCTTAAAATAAAGGGTAACCTAAAACTGTAATGCGAAATATTATTTCAGTTTAAAAGCTTTCTAACAGAATATTTTTCAAAATATAATTTATTTATTAGATGCAATGCTGAATTTTCAGCATAATTACTTTAGACTTCAGTGTCACATGATTCAGATTTGCTGCTCAAGAAAAAATTCTGATTAATATTAATGTTGAAAACATTTGTTCTGCTTTATTTTTTGTGGCACTGGTGCAGTGGGTAGCACGATCGCCTCACAGCAAGAAGGTCCCTGGCTTGAGCCTCAGCTGGCTCAGTTGGCATTTCTGTGTGGTCCAAAAACATGTGGTCTAGGTGTATTGGGTATGCTAAAATTGACCTTAATGTATGTGTGTGAATGAGAGTGCATGGATGTTTCCCAGTAATGGGTTGCAGCTGGAAGGGCATCCGCTGCGTAAAACATATGCTGGATAAGTTGGCGGTTCATTCTGCTGTGGAAAGAGAATGAATGAATAAATAAATACATTAATAAATGCAAAGGTATTTATAATAATATTTCTATATATAATATCATGAATGTGATTTATTTTTCATTTAAAGAACTATAAAAATTGATATGTAAAATTTATTTAAAAAATTAGATCTCCGTTTTATTTTGCAAAAACTATTTTTATATTCTTTCCACCACATTTCTAATTTCCAGCAATTGTTCTTCTGATATGCAATACTGTCAAATCAATTGTATACAAAGTGTTTATGTTTTATTGTAATCGTTTAAGATACATAATGCTGGGGAATTAACTATGCAACTAGATTAGAAGAAACAAGAAGAAGCAAATCTTTAAATCTGCTTTGTTTTAGAGTTGCTTCAGGATGTTTCTGGCAAAGCTAACAAAATTCTCTTGTGGTACTAGTAAACCTATATGTATTAGTACAACATCCTGTGATCATGATTATTTGCCTCTTTGTGACGAAATGCTTGTTGTTTTCCTCAGCTATAAATGAAATAAATTAAAAATAATAAAAATAATAATTCAAATATATATATAAAAGTGTCTTCTAAACAGATAAATGTCACAAATCCAAAATTGTTCATAGCTGAAGAAAAACATCAGCATTTCTTTATTTTTCTTTATTTTTCTCATAAACATTGTTTAATTTTTTATACTGTGCATGTGTGTGTGTGTTCAGGCTTGAGCAAGTGATTGTCCATGTTGGCTGCATGAGTATAAAAGACTCTCAAGAACTGGTGAGCACACTGCTTCACATCCTCTTATGATTTACATGCATTATTAGCATTTTTTCTTTTGTAATGTGATTTTTCCACCCCCACAAACATCTTTCCTTCGATTTATTGTCCATTTGTGTTTCAGCATGTACAGACAAACAGGTAGTTTCCCCCTCGTGACTGTTTTTAAAAATGCTGATTGGATGTTTTTTGCTTTCCTTCAGGCTCGGCATGCAGCCAGTATAGGGGCTGATGGCATATCAGTAATATCTCCATCCTATTTTAAACCCATCAATGCAGGTTTTTAACTCTTTTTGTTGTTGTTTTTGTTAAAAATAGTTGCAGCTGCTCTTTTTTTTTATATACACTACCAGTCAAAAATCATTTAATGTTTTATAATAAGCTTATTTCTCTTACAAAGGCTGCATTTATTTGATAGAAAATACATTTAAAAATGTGAAATTGAGAAATATTATTCCATTATTGAATAAATATAATTTTATTGCATGTAATTCCAAATCTCATTAATTCTTACAGTTTAAAGCTGAATTTTAAGCATGATTAATCTTCAGGGTCACATAATCCTTTAAATATTATCATGATCTGCTTAAAAAGAAATAACTATTATTGTTGTTGTTGTTGTTTTAGTTTGGGAAACTGATACAATACTATTCAGAAGTACCTTTAAAACTGTATTCACTTTTATTCATCACAATAAATATATAATGTTTAAAAGATATCAATCCTGTTATTTTTAGTGTTATCTTTTATCATAGAATCCTAAAAGTAAAATGTGTCATAGTTTCAACAATAACATGAATCAAGGCTAGGGCTGCATGAAATTGGAAAAATCTGACATTGAGATATTTTGTTTTGCTGCAATGTATATTGCGATATGAATATAATTTCACCACAAGGCTATTTGGAAAGATTTAATTGTCTTTTTATAAGCAGTGCATTTGCATAAATTACAATAAATTATAACAAATACAATGCAACAGAGCAAATATAAAAGTGAAAAACAGTGCTTTCTGCAAAATCTTAACATTATTCAGGTACAGAAATTGAACAAGCAAGCATAAAATAACATGGTCATCATTGTATAAATTATCATTTATTTTTCTTTTAATCTTTAATCAAAAAAAAAAAAAAACAATCCTGCGATGTAACTGTTGCGGACACAGACAACAATTGTCAAAGGATATATTGTGCAGCCCTAATAAAGATGAAACAAAATTAGCACTGATATTTGTAAGATAAATTGATTTTGTACCAATAACAACTGATCATAATAGAACAGCAAATTCATCTCATATCATAATGATTTCTGAAGTATCATGTGGCACTGAAGACTGGAGTGATGAAGAATTAAGTCTTAAATCACAGAATTAAATCACAGGAATGAATTACATTTGAAAATGTATTCAATAAGAAAACAGTGCTTTGAATTGTTATAATATTTCACAATTTAAGAGTTTGTATTGTGTATTTCATCAAATAAAAGCAGCCTTGGTTAGCAGTATTGGCTTCTTTTGAAACATTAAAAAGATCCTTTGACTGGTAGTGTATATATAATTGCCATCAAAAAGCTTTGCTCTTTTCACAGACGCATTGAGGTTGTTCATAAAGGAAGTGAGTGCCTCTGCTCCAGATCTTCCTATGTATTATTATCATCTTCCAGGCATGACCGGTGTTGCATGTAAGCGCTAACATTACTGGCAGCCAAAAACCTTACATTGCCGTAAATTCTTCAGAATTGCACATTACACCATGACTCATTGACCTTCTGTGAATTTTTTGTTACTGTTGTTTTTAGTAGAGGCAGCTGATGTGCTGAATGGAATCGAGAGGGAGATTCCATCATTTCAGGGAGTGAAATACAGCGGGACGGATCTGAGGGATCTCGGACAGTGTGTTTGTTACAGTCAGTCGCGTGACTGGTCTGTCCTGTATGGAGTAGATGAGGTAAGGATTTCTCTCACTGCATTTGTCCTGTTCTTGTTATAATTTAAGGCTTTAATTGATTTAAATTTTCAAATTTGCTCATCAAGAAACACATGCTGCTGCTTTATTTTTTACTACATAAAATTAGAATAGAATTTAATAAATAAATAAATAAAATGTATCTATGATAATATTTTTAATAATAATAATAATGTGAATGTGATTGTCTCGTTTTTGTCATAATTTAAGGTTTTAATTGTATGTTTTTTCTGACTTGTATGTTTTTTCTTTCTATTGTAGCAGCTCTTGGGTGCTTTGGTGCTTGGTGTTCACGGAGCAGTGGGGAGGTGAGTGCCAACATGGCATCTTATCACTGATTTTCTGGCCTCAGTTGTCATGAATTCATGACCTTTGGCTGTTTTATCTGCTATGGCTATGTTGTAGTTATGCTTAATGGCAGGAGAGTTACCTTAATGTCCTTTTAAAACTGCCAGAGCACTGTGTAAAGGTTATGAATTGGCATTATTATTATTTTTTTTAAAACAGGTATCTTGTGACACGAGTTTGTTTTTCAGCAATATTGGATTATAATTGATTACTTGTTATATAATCAGATTTTAAAAATACAATAATTGTAGCTACATTATTTAATTTAAGAATCATTTTAATGGATTATTAGATGATTACTAATTATTCACTTCAATGGCAGTAAATTTATATTTTTTACAATTTCATTCATTTATTCACTTTCTTTTTGGCTTAGTCTATTTATTAATCAGGGATCACCAGAGTAGAATGAACCGCCAACTTATCCAGCAATTGTTTATGCAGTGGATGCCCTTCCAGCTACAACCCATCACTAGAAAACATCCATTCATTCATTTATTCATTCATTTATTCGTTTTATTTTCGGCTTAGTCCCTTTATTAATCAGGGGTCACCACAGCAGAATGAATTGCCAGCTTATTCTGTATGTTTTAAGCAGCAGATGCCCTTCCAGCTGTAGCCCATTACAGGGAAACATGCACACACACTCATTCACACACATACACTACGGACAATTTAGCCTACCAGATTCGCCTATACCACTATCACTATGTCTTTTTTTTAAGATTTATTTTTGGCCTTTTTTGCCTTTATTAAGTGAATAGGACAGTATTTCAGGAAGCAAAGTGGGAGAGAGAGTGGGGTGGGTACTGGAAATGTCCTCAAGCCGGGATTCGAACTCAGGATGCCCTGAAGTGCTGCTGCACCACTAAGCTATTACGCCGACGCCGCATGTCTTTGGACTTGTTGGGGAAACCGAAGCACCTGGAGGAAACCCACGTGAATTCAGGGAGAACATGTAAACCCCACACAGAAACGCCAACCGAGGCTCGAACCCAATTCGAAGACAACAGCACTACCCACTGCACCACCGTGCCGCCCATGTTTAGATAGTATTGATTTAAAGCATGTGAAAACAATAATATCATAACAATAATAATATTCCCATAAACACATTCAAAAACAAAGGTCTGTAAAGCAGAAAGTAGGCTATTTACATTAATGGATAACCTTTTCTGATTTTCATCTTGTAATTTTTGTAATCACTAACAGAAAACTAGGGCTTCACAACATATTGAAAAACAATCCTTATTGTGAAAATAATAAATGCAATAACAATAATCAGAGTCATATATTACATTTATTTGATGTACCAGGCCTTTGTGTTGCATCATATATATTTTTTTCATCATCCAAATTTAAGCAATCAGAGTTTTACTATGTTTATTCACGCCTCCCCAGTAAATACTGTTTTGCTGTTGGCTAGACCGGACCCAAAGGTGAAACTAGTACAAAGAGCTGGTGCACATTCAAGCCCAAACCAATGCACGTTTTAATATGGTTGTGCAACTTAGTTTGAGATATGTTTTTTCTTGTTTGGTGGGTGGGACTAAAATGTCAGCCTAATTGGTATAAACCACGAAGAGACATCTCGCACAGTGGGTTCATTCAAGTAAAGTCTTTTATTTTGGAACGCAAGGACAGTGACTGTAACATTGAGGGTATTTTGCAGTATTAAACACATATTTAGACCGATTTCTTTAGGCTCCGAAAATGATTTAAATGGAATATGAAGAATGGCCTTCTCAGCTGCTGTAATTTCAACTCCTCTGTCATCAGAACAGGGTGTTCTACCATTTGCACTTAAAAACATGTTTGTGATCTTTTGTCAAGGCTGAGCACAGCCCTGAAAATAAACACTAATGGTGGTAGTAGAGATGAGTGAGGAAAAAGACAGCAGCAAACAAGAATCAGAAATTTTCAGTTTTTCAGTCATTCATGGTATTTTAAAGTCTAAATGTTTACACATTTTGTTTGTCGACAGTTTATCCTGAATTAGATTAAACCGGGTTGTGTGCAAACGTTTAGACTTTAAAATACCAGGAATGACTAAAAACCTTAAGAATTCTGATTCTTATTTTACATTTACATTTACATTTAGTCATTTAGCAGACTCTTTTATCCAAAGCGACTTACAAATGAGGACAAGGAAGCAATTTACACAACTATAAGAGCAACAATGAATAAGTGCTGTAGGCAAGTCTCAGGTGTGTAAAGTGTAAGAAGCAAAGCATTAGTAATGTAAGTTTTATTTTTTATTTTTTTTTGTGAGTACAGTTAGCGGTGGAGCCAGAGAGGCAATTGCAGATTAGGAAGGAAAGTGGAGATTAAATAGTTGAGTTTTAGTCAACTAAAACAACAAACAATTGTGTTGCTTTTTGTAGGAAACATAATTTTCCAAAGAAGCTGCTCAATTGTTTTTAAAGTACAAGTTAAAAGCATAATTACATCTGAAAAATATCTATCACCTCTTTAGTTCATTTGTTCATTATGCAAATAAAATATTATAAAAACTGGCTAATAAACGGCATTTCTCTTGCTATAACAAAATCTAAACAACATTGCATATCTCATATTTTGTCAGCATTCTGCTGCCCTATAAACAACAGTTAAGCAAAATAGAAATCTGTATGTGATGTAAAAAGATTACATTATCTAAAATGAGTTGTCCAGTAGATAAGTAGTTCAGTGTTATTGACTTGTCATCATTTCATCAACATTCCTCAATTTTAAATAATTAATGAACTTCATTTTCGTACAGTTTGTAAGTTTTACCCAAAAATTAATTTTTAAATGTTGTTTTTTGTTTTGAAAACTATAAATATCTAAACAACAAAATGAGGAAATTCATGAAATATTTCAATATTGTTATGGAAAAAATATAAATGCATTTTTATATGTCCACCACACTCTCTCTCACCAGTTTCATTTGCATCAAAACCAGAATTTTTTTTCTCCTAACAAGCAACAATGTCAAATTATTTGAAGTTTAACATTCTCAGTGTTTCTTGCTATGATAATAGCATTGTAATCAACAATACAAAGGATTTGAATTATATTTTTCTACTAAAAGGGATTTGGATGTCTTTTTTCTGCTGTTTATGTTTTAAAAAATGATTGCTTAAGAAAGAAATTGCATAAATGCCTGCTGTCAAGCTTTAAAACTTTATCCATAATGCACTGCTAAATATCATGCAACTCTATATTTTCCAGCACATATAACTACCTCGGACACATAGTGAACCAGATGCTTTCTGCTTTTAATAACGGCAACCACACGCAGACCAGAGCCCTGCAGGTACAGTACAGCAATCGTCCCGTTACACTATTAGTGCAATTCTCAAGTAGAAATTTATTTGATGAATATTTAACGAACTACTATTATTTTAGCTACAACAATTAACGCTATGCAACTCTGTTTACAGTTTGGATTTATGGAAGTCATCACATTTGCCAGGACTCTTGGTAAGTTGATCAGCTTGCCACGTTTATTTCAGATGTTTTTAAAGATTTTTAATAAAATGTCTTTAATGACCAAATTATAGTGATATTGATGAAATGTCAGTGCATTTTTTTTTAAATTGTTGATTGTTTATTCCTTTAATACATGAGTTTATGTAAATCTTTTTTTTTTCTCAATGATTTCTTTACAAAAATCATACTGTGTGCCATGTTGTTTACCTGCAACTATAAACAATGTAGAAAAATGTCATCAAATGTCATTTTATTTGGGATTCGTGCATTTGAATTTGCGGACAAAATAAAGCTAAGTTATCAGCCGATGTTGTCTTCTTGTTCACATAATCTTTAGAAATCATTCTAATATTGGTGCTTAAAGTTCAGTGCATGGAAATGGCCATACTGTGAGCCTCAAACACCATTGCTCCTTGTGTAAATTGCACAAGTTTAAAACCCTGCCGGAAAAACAGGCATACCAGAACATACTACAGACTGTTACATTGCTCACCGGTCGATTCATAACATTAGGGCTAGTCAGCCAGATTTGCATGAGCAGCCCCATCATCAGGAGATCAGCAGCCAAAACAGACGCTGATAAATTACACATGGGACCATTATTTTGCACACCCCAGGCTGGGATTTTGCAATGATCAGTTTTCTTTCTATTTTTAAGTTAATCAAAGTTTACAATAAACTTACTATGTATGTGGCAGATCAGATCTCAGTAATATTTAACACCTTTCCAAATATGGTCAATAAGGACCGTCTGATTCTATGGGCATTTTATGGAATAATACTGGATATGAGCATATAAAACTAGATCATTTTTAAACTGACCTAAGGCACGAATAAGAGTCAGAATTATTAGCCCTTCTGTTACATTTTAATTTTTTATATATATTTTTTCCAAAGTTCAATTTAAAGGATATTTTCAACAGATTTCTAAATATAATAGTTTTAACAACTAATTTCTAATAACCAATTTCTTTTATCTTTGCCATGATGACCGTACAAATGGTAAAAAAAAAAAACATTTAAAACAGTTTTTATTCTAGCTGTAATAAAACAAATTACAGTTTTCCCAAAAGAAAAAGACTGGGGAAAATTCCCTAATCCATTAAATATCCCTTGAAACATATTTGAAACAGAATAAATGTTGCACAGTAGGGCTAAAGTAAAGACACGCATTTAATTGAATTATAAGTCATTTTACAACATATTACATGTATTTTGTGCATCCTAACTAATTCAAATATTTGATTATTTAAAAAAAACAGTATAAATAAAAATAACTTTGGATGAAATAAAATGTTTTTAATGATTATTTTTCTGCAGGTTTTGATGTGTCTGTGAATAAGCAGGTGATGAGTGAAGTATCAGGGTTACCAATGGGTCCTCCTCGACTTCCATTACTGCCATGTCCTGTCTCAAAAGCCCAAGCTATAGCACAGAAAATCCACAACTTCACTCAGGGACTTTAAAATGAATGTAGAGATTTCAGTAAATCTAACTGAAATTCCAAACAAATAATCTGTACTGTTTCTTTACACTACAGGATGTTGATGTACTGTATATTTTATGTTTGCATGCTTTTATACTTTATATTTTCCTGTTTTTTTATTGTTAACCCATTTAGCCTTTCTTAGCATTTTCTATCTGTAATTAATAACAATAAATGAAAATAACATTGTCAATGAACCTACTTAAATTACCTAGCAGTTACTATTATTCCTCACTGTTACTGATATCTTTTCTCTGTTGTCATCATTTTCTATAAGTTTATGGGATTTCTGTGTTTTAATTGTTTGTGTCTTATTGCACAATGTAGCTTAATGCACACACATACTATATGTCTTTACAATATACTTTTGGTTTTGTATTGTTCAGTACAGTATTGATTACACTTTGGCTGTTGATACAATTGTTATTAATTCAGGCTGCTGAGAAAATGGTTGCAGGGTCAGCCATGATACCATTGTGTTCTTTTGTGACAAGTGGCTTTTTTACACCAATTGCACTGCATGTAATGTACAACAAAAATCAGTTTTATCAGTGTTTTATGCTCCATTTCAAAAGCGATATGTGTATCAGGTTCTTCGTAGTAGACACTGTGGTCTATGCTTAATATTTCTAAAAAATCTTATGTTTGCAAAGAACCATTTAAAAAGGGACATTTTTATTAATGCTGTATTCATTGAATAAAACTAAATGCAAGTCTTTCTTTGAGCTTGTTTTTTAAATGCATGATATCTCAAAATCTGCTTATTTAGGTTGAAATGTCTATTTTAATGTCTGTAATTGATTGATGGAGTGACTGTTGTCCTGAACTCTAATTAGGTCACAGTTTATAAGCTCTCAATAATGTCATTCCATCTCCCTCGTTGAAAATATCTAAGTTAAACTGAATGAAGTTGAAGAGAGTCAATCTTTTTGTCTGATTTTTTTCAGCTGTCGTGATGCTATTATATAAGTCACGAGAATTGACCAATATCATCTCAACTCCTTTTTGCTGTTCAAAATGTAATAATCATTTGGAATCTGGGGGGTTTGTGAAGATCTGGGAACAAGTAACCATTGACTTCCATAGCTAGGCCTATTTGTTTTTCCAGTAATGGAAGTCAAAGGTTACCGGTTTCCAAAATACTTTAAAATATCTTCTATTAAACTCAAGAAGGTTTGCATAACCACTTCAGTGTGTACATAGTGAGTTAGTATTTATTTATTTTCATTTTTAGATTAATTATATCAATCTTATATCATCTCAGATATGTTAAATATAGATATGTTAAATATAGGCTATTAAAATACCTATTTGTGTATAGCTGTAGGAGTGTTGATGTTTCGCATCTGTCAGCAAACTCTGGTCGAGAGTGCGCTACATCATCAACTAATCAGCGGTTTTACTGCTGACTTCATGTATGACTAAAAAAGGTCAGAATTACAATATTACACTGTACATCATTTATTAGCACACTAGCAGTTTCTTTTCAAGGAGAACACTGACAACTCGTTTAAAATCAGGTCATGACCAGGTTTCCTTTGGGACAGCCTATCTAAACACATATTAGAAACTGTGGCTTCAATGTTTACACTGATTTTGGAATTTTAAAAATTTTAATTATTTCTTATTTAGTTTATTTTACATTAATTTTTTTATTATTTAATGCTTATTTTCGCAGATTCTGGGGTACACGGTGGACTGTTTGATTGCATGAACTTTGATTCCATGTGAAAAATGCCGCCATCTAGTGTTTGCTAAAAGCACGTGCAGCATCTGTACTTTGAAAATAGTGTTTTGGGCTATTTACATTTTGGGCCATATTCTATTAGATCATGGGTGGCCAAACTTTTTCTTATAAAGGGCCACAAGCCAAACTTGATTGAGGGCTGTGGGCCGAAGTTAAATATACCAAGCCATATTACATTAAATTTGCCATGGGTAATTTCCTACTTTATTTTCTAATATTTAAAAGCAACTAGAAATTTGAAACTTATTAATTAATGATGAAGTTTCATTTTTCCTTTTTTATAATGGACTTATTGTAGTAAAAATATAAAAAATCCCATATTTAACACAATGAAGTTCAATGCTGAATACACTAGTCGAGCTGCTCCTGCCTTTGCCTTGATTTTGTTAAGTGACAGTATTTACATTTTAAAAGTCTGATTCATTTACAACATTTAAATTAAACATTTAATTTTATTTTTGCTTTTTTGTAGCTCAAACAAAGAAACAAAAGATTATGTTCAATTCGAAATGATGATCTCTGTCAAAGGCATGTGTCTCAACCAACTTTCCGTCATTCTCCCTCTCTTTTCAGATGGGATGGCGGGCCAAATAATAGGTTACCATATTACGCAGGCCCTACTTTGGCCACCTCTGCATTAGATAGCCACCAGTAGATAGCAATAAATTACCAGTTAAGACCCACAGGGACTATTGCAATTTCCAATCAAAACATTTTACAATTTACAGTCAATTACCATTATAGTCAATCAAAATTGTAAGATGGTTTCTATTGTGTTTCTTTCTTTATTTTAAAATAAAATTGAGAAAACAGAACTATTCCACAAGAAAAGTACTATAGCAAATTATTGTAAATAGTAGTATAGTTGGCTACAGCCATATCCCCCTGCAGCCCAAGACCAGTTACTCACTGAAGCTAAGCAGGGCTGAGCCTTGTCAGTACCTGGATGGGAGAGTAGAGGGTAACTGCTGTCTGGAGAATTTTGCCACGCCCCTACCGGAAAAAATACTTTGACCAATAAAAACCTTATACCACGCCCCTACCTTTTGCCACACCCATTTCTCCAGTCTGTAGTTACCAGGAATGCGAGACCACATTGGAGTGGTGTTAGTGAGGTCAGGGCGCTCAACCTGGGCTCTGTGTGAGTCCTAATGCCCCAGTATAGTAAAGGGGATGCTATACTGTCAATGGACGCAGTCTTTCGGATGAAACGATAAACCGAGGTCCTGACTCTCTTTGGTCAGTTCCACCGAATTGGCTCTATCACTGTCTCTCCACTTTACCTATAGCTGGTGTGTGGTGAGCGCACTGGCGCCGTTGTCCTGTGGCTGCCGTCGCATCATCCGAGTGGATGCTGCACACTGGTGGTGGTGCGGAAAGACCCCCCTCATGATTGTGAAGAACTTTGGGTGCATGGCTATACATGATAAATGCTCTATATCAGTGGTTCTCAAACTGTGGTACGTGTACCACTAGTGGTACGCGGAGGAATTAAATAGCCTATGTGATGTACATGCTACACACATTTCAAAATGTATCAAAAATGATGTACATAATAAGCCATATATGACATAGCCTATATTTCTAAGGTAATCTGCCACATTTTTTAACTGTGCAGAGTTGTAGCTGCTTTACTGGGCCTACTATGCTACTATATTTCAATACTGCTCATTTTGGTGGTACTTGAAGAGACAATTTTTTTCTGAGGTGGTACTTGATGAAAAAAATTTGAGAACCACTGCTCTATATGAATATACATTACATTACATTAAATACTGTAGTTGTTTTTTAACCATACTTTAATAAAGTACTTGAATTAATCTATTGTGGTATGGTAATACAGCAATTACAGGGTTGTTGCTAGAGAGGATACAGCTGCAGGCGGAAGTTAAGTAGAATTATTTATTAAATTACATTCATTCGTTTATTTTCCTTTGGCTTAGTTCCTTATTTTAATAAATCACACAGTATTTGTATTTTATTATCGTCTACCCCCTCACCAACCCTAAACCCAACCCTCATAAAGATGCTAAACAGTAATAATACAGAGTACTATTTTCATTATTAATTAAATTACCTATAAAATTGCATTGTGCTAACCACAGAACCCTCACAGTAATGCAAAAACAGTACAAATACAGAGCATTATTCATATTAAAATTTAAATTACATTTTAATAATGTAATTATAATAGAATCATAATATTAACTTTTAATAATGCAATTATAATGTAATAATTTTAATAATTTCAATAAAATAGCATTTTATTAAAGCCTACATCTTCCTCCAACAGAAAATAGCCATTATTGTTTTACAGTGTCACAAAATTATGCCATATTGATGTGTGCATCCCCAGCTGTATTCCTTCTAGACTTAAAATTACAGTAGTATAAACAAGTTGTACTATTTTGTAATATAAACAATATTGTACTATGTTTTCTACAACTGTTAATTATAATATACTAGCTACACCACAATTTACTATAGTACAAACAGAAGTGTATTGTTGCCGAATGCATTACAGCACACTATAGCTAATAGTGTTACAGTATACAATATAACACTCTGAATATAACACTGATTAACACTGAATAATATAATACATAAAGTATGCACATTACTATGGTATGGTTCAAAGACACCATTGTATTTACTCTTGTTTACTATATTATTTTTTCAGATTTTTCATTTTCATTTGGGGGAGACTTGGTTAACAACCAAGTGCTTCAAAAAGTGCTTCATATTTTCGTCAATGAGGTATTAATTAAAAACATTGAATATTTTATATGCAGTGTTGTTCCATGAGGATATAAAATCTACCCAACAGGAATGACACGCTCATAAACAATCCTCGTTCACAGGCGGAACCAATGATAGCGCTTTTAATCACTACAACCACACGGGACAATAATACAGCGACGCCGTGTGTTCACGTATTTCCGGCCAGCTCAGCGCACCACAGAGGAGTATTTTGGAGCTCTAATCCAGACTGAGACATTTGTTTTCCAGCTGTAAACACTTCACAAACACCTGCCGTGCGTAAATCTGACATTACAGAAAAATGGTGCTGTTGACGATGATCGCGCGGCTGGCGGACGGACTCCCGCTTGCGGCTTCAATGCAGGAGGACGAGCAGGTATATTTATATGAGCTCAGTCATTTCTCACTGCTTTATCATTTACATTAGGACTGTGTGTGTGACTGTGAGCTAAATCAAAGATTAGTGTATTGGAAACATGACATTTCCTTTCGAAAGTATATGGTTATTGTAAACTACTAGGCAGATAACTTATATGTTTTACCAGAGGTTTAACTTTATGTCTGGCCTTCATTGGCTCAGATTGCAGTGATTGGACAGCTGTGGTAGTAACTTACTTAACATGGTTTATTTAGTTTCTAACCGCTTTATTATTGTTATAACTGGGGGTGTAATAATTGACGTCGCAGTTTATTGTATTTGAAAGCTGTTATTGGTCACACACAGAGAAGAAGGTTCATTAGATGGAGATCATTTTGATCAGGTACAGCGCCCTCTTCTGTCTAGATGTGGAAAATTACACCTGGTTTTCTTCACCCCCTCCTTGCTAAATATCACCTGATTTTTAAAAATTGATTAAATAAAGTAGTTCATATTTATATTTTCAAATGTAGTTTTTAAAGATTTTTTTAAAATGGTTATTTATGTAGTAATAATATTGCCAGTTTATGTCATAAAGAGAAAGTTCAAAAAAAAAAAAAAAAAAAAAAACGTACACGCTATTTACCCACCCTCAAGTAGTTCCAAACCTTTTAGTTTTTAGGAAGTTTCTTTCTTCTGTTTAACACAAAATATTATATTTTTGTAGATCGCCAAAACTGGCGACCATTGACATACATATAGCAAACACAAATACTATAGAAGTCATTGGTTACTGGTTTCCAGTAGTGATATCCAGATCTGATGGATTCGATGGCATGATAATTGGAATCGAACTGTGAGACCCGTGTGGGTTCACACCTCTAATATTCTTATTATTTTTTTAACACATCTATAGTTATGCAGTGCTACAGAGTTAGACCTTTTGATTTCACACAGAAACGGCAACGCGTGCAGCATGACATCACTTTGTTGCAGAGATGCTATTGGTTAAACTCAAGCAAAGTAGAACACAGAAGCAGAAAGCATGAGTTTGTCTGCGGTCTGAAGGTATTATAAAGTTGATAATGAAAACATTGCCAAAGCAAACTGTGAGAATTGTAAACTTGTGATTGCGTGCTGGGTATTTTAAGTTGAGATGCTGTTTGTTTATATATACAATTTTTATATTTACTGTTGCCCTAAAGTCCAAAAGTGAAGAATTTATGGTTATTTATGACTTGATTGTTCAAGCTACCTCACAGAAGTGCTCTGTTTGTTAACTGAGTTATTGAATGTTAAAATATAATGAATTAAATAAAAAAATAAGGAATATCCTGGATTGGTTTCTTCGCTCTTCTTTGTTCTTTTCTTTATGTGTTATAGAGGTATCAGATCAGGTATCGGTATCGACAGATACTCAAAATCAAACAACTCAGATTCGAGGGCACAAAAAACCTGATCGGGACATCCCTAATTTCCAGCTTTCTACTAAATATCTTCTGCAAATTTGAAAACAAGTGAAGGAAGAGTAAATAATGACAGAATTTTCTGTTACGTGTGTACTATCCCTTTAAGACCCATGCACGAAAAAAAAAATAGGTCAATTTAAACTTTTTAGCTTACATTTCTGATAAAACAATTGTAACACCTTAAAAGTTATTTTTAGAAATGATGTTTGTTGTTTTGCAAAAAGTCAGAACTGTGAGAAATAAATTCAGAATTGCTTAACTATAAGAGATGACAGTTAAATGGTCATGTTTGTAAAATCATCATTTAAGGATGTGTAAACTATGACAAAATGTTCCCAGTTAACTTTAGTATTTGCAGTATATTATATATATATATATATATATATATATTATAATAATATTTTTTTTTTTCAAATACATATTTTATTGAGCATTTTTAGTGCAAAAACATGTCAGAAAATGACAATGAGTAAAAAGATAATATCTATCGCACATGTAATTTAAATTCTGACCCCCACCTGAAAAATTATAATAATTAAAAGTAAATAGTAATTAAATAAAAATAATAATAATAAAATTATATGCACATTATTATTCCACAGAATCGTGTAAGTAGTTTTGGCATTGTGGATTATTAAAAATTTAATTAATAACTGAATCAAACCGAAATGAGAGCTTGTAAATCCAGATCAAATCAGTATATCTGGATTGATATACATAGCTATTTGCTTGTCACTTTTCAGCACTTTTACAGATTTGATAGACCTTGCCAAACATATTGACAAACTTGATAATTGACAAACATATTGACTTGTGAGTTTAGACAATCAACACAAAGGTTTAAGCCTTTAGTAGTTCTGAACAATATAAATAAAGATTGTAGCATTTCTCCAAATGGTGTCTTAGATATCCAGTAGTTACTTTCATTACATTTTTACTTTCAAGTTCTAACGTCTTTACATTTCCTCTTTTCACGCTGCCATGAAGGGAAGTGAGAAGGTTTGTGTACCTTTAGCTTTTGTGAAATCCCTCTGAAGAAGATGGAGTCAGATGTATCAGAATGAGTTTGTGTTATTGGCTCTAATTTGCACTTTGGTCCTCAGATGGGTCGAGATCTGCAGCAATATCAGAGCCAGGCCAAACAGCTCTTCCGAAAACTAAATGAACAGAGTCCCAACCGATGCACCTTAGAGGCAGGATCTATGTCCTTTCAGTAAGTTTTCCTTGTAGCAAACCACAAACACAACTACAAAATCATTGTGTTCACGTAATTCACAATACAACACGCAATGTTATGGAATTTGTAAAATTTGCATTATACACTTAAAGGGATAGTTCACCCAAAATGAAACTTTCCTCATTTACTCTCCCTGTTAAACACAAAAGAAGAAATTTTGAAGAATGCTGGTTGCTGTTTGGTACCCATCACAACTCATCGAGTACTTATTATGGAGGTCAATTGATCCCAGCATCCAGCATTTTTCTAAATATCATCTTGTGTGTTCAACAGAAAAAAAAAAAGCTCAAATAGGTTTTGAAAAAGTGAAGGGTGAGTATGATGACTGAATTTCATTTTTGGACGAACTATTTCTTTAATAAAAAAACACTTTGTAATGAAGCCAGTTATTTAGCTGTTGTCCAGTAGAGTGTTTTTCTAAAATTATGGAGTAATTACAATGTGTTCCTCTGTGTTTTTTAAGCAGAAATTAAATTGAATTTGAAAAGAAAGTAAAAGTATTTTAGTCTGTTCCCATTTTTTTTTTTAAATTTCGTAATAGTTGCAAAAATTTAATATTCGTTTTGATTTCCAAAATATATCGAGAATTAAAATAAAGTACGGGGACATTAAAAACATAATGTATGAAAAATACATTTAAAAAGGAGGTTGGGGTATGGGCAGAATTCTAGGGGGGAAATGTATAGGCCTTGCTAAAAAAAAAAAAAAAAGATCAAAAGTAGGTCCATGTGTTTTGAAGAGGGACTCATTCTGCAATCCAGGAGATAATTAGAAAAGTATTTATTTTCTCCCCGTCACTTTTTTTGTTGAATTACATTCCTGAAGACCTTTTTGACTCAGAGCTCAAACCTGTTTACAACTCTTACATTTCTGGCTAAGAAATGTATATTACTAAAATGGTCTACTTCTCAAAATCCAGCTATTTCCATAAGGATTTCTCAGTTGTCAGTCTTTCTTCCTTTGGAAAAATTATCTTGTGACCTCAACCGCAAACAGGACAAATTCAGGAGACTTTGGAAACCTGTCCAATGCTTTCTAGATAAACTCAGAATTTTTTTTAAAAGAGTTCTGGCTTCTTCTGTTTTGTTTTGATTATTTTTAATTTTTTTAAATAATTTTTCTTTTTTAAACTTAGATTTGTAAATGTTTATTTAATTAGCAGTGCTTGGGGATGGTTTGTTTATTTGTTTGTCTGCCTGTCTGTCTGTCTGATTGTCTTTGTTGTTTGTACTATTTGAAACTCTTCAATAAAAAAAATAAATAATTCTCTCTCTCTCTCTCTCTCTCTCTCTCTCTCTCTCTCTCTCTCTCTCTCTCTCTCTCTCTCTCTCTCTCTCTCTCTCTCTCTATATATATATATATATATATATATATATATATATATATATATATATATATATATATATATATATATATATATATATAAGCTGTATGTAAGCTGTTTGGACAGAACTATGTGTATGTATAGTGTGTTCACTGTCATATTGGAGTAATATAAATCCAACAAGTCTCTTTATCTGCGTTTGTCTCCTTAACTGACTGCTGTTTATCTGCTGTAATGCAGGAATGGCACATGGGAAAGGTGGGCGGGGAGAAGCAGTTAATTTGCATTTAAAGCCACAGGCTACAAAAGCAACTACACTATGCTCAAAATAAAATGAGCATACTCTGGAGGCTATAATAAATAGTCTGAGTATTTCAAGCTGAACCTTTCACATCCTGGACGCACCAAAGGCTTATCTTACATCTTGTAAAAAGGGTAAAATAGGTGCCCTTTAAATCAAGAAAATTAAGTTAAATCAGCTTAACACTTGCAAGTTACAATGAGTTTACTCACTTTAAGTTTTGTCAACTTGTCTCTTTTAAAGCAACGGGTTTACTCCACTTTTTTTTAAAAAAGCAAATCACTTTTTTCACAGTGTAAATAGTCTCTCTTCTCTCTTCTTTTCAAAGCTATGTCATAGAGAAGGGCGTTTGCTATTTGGTTCTCTGTGAGGCCGGGTTTCCTAAAAAGCTAGCGTTTGCTTATCTGGAAGATCTACAGGCCGAATTTCATGAACAGCACGGCAAAAAGGTGCCCACAGTCTCCAGGCCTTACTCCTTCATAGAGTTTGGTAAAAGAGCCTTTAATTGTTGAAGTTTCATTTAATTCTCCTTACGAGATGACCTCGTAACCCATTTCCTATTCTGTCCAAAGATACATACATTCAGAAAACCAAAAAGTCCTACATTGACAGCAGAGCACGCAGGAACCTGAGCAACATTAACACAGAGCTACAGGATGTACAGAGGATCATGGTGGCCAATATTGAAGAAGTCCTGCAGCGGGGAGAGGCTTTATCTGGTAAATACTGCTTCTGGTGGATTTTTATGAGACTTCTTTTTCACTTCAGTACATAGAAATGTTGATTTTTATTTCTCTTCATCTTGATTTGCTGTTTGTTCAATCTATTTTTGAGGTATTTCAAATGTTAGATTCTCCTAACTTTAAGTGAAGCAGAAGTTATTTGAAAAATTCTAAAAAAGAATTCTATAGAACTGTAATGTATTTTAATGGCTTTAATAGTGACTTCAATGGTGTTTTACGTTTGTTTTTATTTTTAAAAAAAGTCAGTGCATGTGGCAGTAATAATGGCTAAAATGAAAATGTATAAATGGGATTTAACTACAGCGATTTTAACTGTTATCCTCCCGGATGACTAAAAAAAGTTATCAATATGGTAGTGAGAAATTGTAAACTTCTAGTCAAACCTACAATGGCCAAGAGAGCTTAACATGCTGCAATTTAAAAAAACGCATGCAATTGTGTAAAATGCCAGCAAATTGAGAAAAGATCTTCATCTGTTTAGCACATGTGATGCAAATCCTTTGATGCAAATTATCCATACACATAAAAAACAACAATTGATGAAACATGCTGCATTTTCTCACAAAGCAAACAATTTACAAAAATGCCTGCATTTTCGAACTAATTTTATAAATATTTTATAAATAAAACAGAACACAATGGAAATGTTTCAAGGGGACCCTAAAATGTGACGGATATTTAGGTTGTGGTTATTTAGGCTAATGAAATACATATGACAAGGGAATCAGAATAGCAGCATCTGTCACAATTTACGGTCCCCTTGAAGCATTTCCATTGTGTTTCCTTTCTTTTTGTAAATGTTGGAAGATCTTTTCTTAATTTGTTGGTGTTTTTTAGAATTGCATGTGTTTATGAAATTGCAGCAAGTTGAGCTTTCTAGGCCACCGTACAAACCATCCTTCTGCAATTTTGTGTCAAAAAGAGAAATAAGGGCAGTTTTAAAAGCCAAATATATTAGAGCACTGCCATTATGTGATTGTATTGTATTGCATTATGGTGCACCTAATTGTAAAGTTAAATCATAGGTAATTTTGAAAAAGTCAAATTGAAAATTACATGATTAAATGCCATTAATTTGCTGTGGTTACAACTGAATTAATTACACAATAACTGTTAAAAAAAGATAAAACATAAAATGATAAAAAAAAAAGAAAAAATAGAAAACATAATATTAATTGTACCCAGCTTAAATGTAAAATAAAGTTACCTGAAGAAGAGATAAAGAACTGTGTGTCTGGCCCAAAAAAAGCCAGATAGCAGTAGAGCCAGAGAAGAAAGACTCAAGAGCAGGAAAGAGACAAAGAGAGCAAATGTTGCAGACATTCAAACTGACCAATCCAGATAGCAATAAAAAAAACACACTGTAAAATCGATGAAATACAAAGACAGTTCTGTCAGGCCCTGATTTTTAGCAGCGCTTCTGCCTTTGGAATCTGTATGGACTTTCTTTTGGGGAAAATACGTGGTTTGCAATAAAAACAAATGCATATGATAATTTACATCCTTTCAAAAAACAAGTGTTTATACACTATTTATTTAACAAAAATAACAATACTTGAGTAATTCAATACAACCAACTGAGCAGAATTTGCAGCAAAAACACTTACAATGTCAAAAAAAATAAAAAATCAATAAATATATTTTTTCCAGCATATTTTAAGCAGTGGAGCTGTTCTCAACACTGATAATAACAATACTTATCTATTAGAATAAATTCAGTTGTAAAATATATTAAATCAGAAAGCCCTTCACAGTTGCTACATTACAAAATTGTGCACTTCACCGTATTTCCAGTTTAAAAATGTTTATTTTTTTCTTTATTTTTTTTGTTTTTACCCCCCTCAGCTTTGGACTCGAAGGCCAGCAACTTGTCCAGCCTGTCCAAGAAATACAGAAGCGACGCTAAGTACCTGAACACTCGCTCCACATATGCTAAGCTAGCAGCCGGCGGAGTCTTCTTCATCATGCTGATCGTTTACATCCGTTTCTGGTGGCTGTGAGCTGTGGAAGATGCATGTATGTGTGTGGAAGGAAAGAGGGGCTCACAGGTGAAACACAGACGGATACTTAAATGACAAGCTCATGTTGTTTTAAACCACAGCCTGTTCTTAAAGACTGTCAGATCCGGCACTTTCCCTCCTAACAGGCCGTCGAGACCCCAACCTGATCCTCACTGCTATCTGTTTATGAACTACACGGAAGTCTGTTTACTTGGAGTGTGTGAATGAACGAATGAATGAAAGGGAAGGAATGGAAGTGCGTTTTTCTGTTTGTGTCTTTGTGAAATCTCTCCTCTCATGGAAATGAATCTTATATACTGTGCTACAGTACCATAGAGCAACAATGCATCTCAGTTAGCGATTCATTCATTCAAATTTGTCTAATTAGTTCCACAAACAACTTCTTGTTGTTATTATTTAGGTAAGGAGATTTAGGTTTCGGCCATGGAGATAAATGAGGCGGTTGCATTATTAACTCTTCTCAAAGAGCAGATTTCATAATTCTGCTTCTATCTGTTAACCAGATACAGTATGAAGAGTTTGACTCCTATGTCTATAAAAGCCCCCTATGAAGTGTAAGGCTTAGTTTGAATTCGTCTCATTAGTTTAGCCAGTGGTGTTCCTGGTGCAAAAATTGCCTAATAAACAGCATTTGCGCTGCTGTGAGGACATTTGAGGTTGCGTCCAGTTGCTCAACACACCCCATATTAATAACACTATTGTCAGGGGGCATTTTGTGACAAGCAGAGGTTTGGGTCAGATGCAATCCAGTGCAGTCTACTTGTCTGGTCTCTTTCACGGTTTGCAAATACGCCGTCTGATCCGGGTACATCATTTCCTACATCTGTATTTTACATGCATTGAAGATTTACACAATAACCAACAGTGTATCATGTGTCCACCACCTGAGGCTAAATTGCTCATAGCAAGAGTGTTTGTTCAGGTCACAAAGGCAACAATATAAATAAATTAATTCAGACTCATTTAATAGTTGCTTTTGCTTCTGTTTTTGCAGGTCACACTGTCAGTTTTAAAATATTTGGGCTGCAAATTTTTTTTGCAAAACTTTTTTTTTTTTACACAATTTCAGTTTAAAGTTCACAGCAATCTTAAACAATTAAAAGTAGTGTTAATAAAACTTTATATTTTTATTATTAGCTTGTAACTTTAACTTTAAAACTTTATTACAAAGCTCCCACACTATAAAAAATGCTGGGTATTAATTTATTCATGATGTGCCAACACAAACCAGTTAACCTCCTTGTGATTGAGTGTACACATACTGTACATTGACAGCACATTTTAGCTCTTAAGTGACTATTTAAAAATACTTTGTTTTTTTTTTATTATTTTGTTACAGACATAGTGTCATCCTGCAACTGTTTTGCAGCATATGAAATATCCCAAACACTATTTTTAACTGTCCAAAATAGGGAAAAAGTTTGTTTTTACTCTGATATTAAAAACATGCTCACATTTTTTTTATGTTATATATCCATTAAAAACATTCAGGAAAAAGTGTTTTATGTAAATTCGCTCCACGAGTACACATATATGGACATAAGTTTTTTCTAAAAGTACATCATGTCAAAACATGATACTTAAATTTTTATTCTAATTAGGTTCCAATAAGTCTAAATAGCAAAGCGAAATAAAAAATGCAAGTAAATAAACACCTTGAGCCTTAAGAGGTTATGTTAAATTAATTGTTTTTACACATTTAAGTGGATTGGACATAAAACAATTAGGTTGTCCCAAAAAAACTTCAAGAATTTAGTTGTTTCAGATCATTTGAATTAAGTAGTTTGATATATGTGTGCAGATATCTTAATAAAATAATTTCCATTAATGTGATTATGTACTCATTGTTAAAATTAATTTGACTTAAGTGTAGTTAATTAGCCAAGTGAAGCTAAATGTTATTACAAATGAGAAAGTAATTATTGATGAATGTCCATCTATTTTGCTTGAAAACATTTTATGTTATTCAGGGTGTTCACAGGGGCTTTAAGTCTTAAAATGTCTTAAATTTCAAAACATACATTTTAGGCCTTAAAAAGTCCTAAATACACTGATATTATTGTGCTGTAGCTCTTAAATCGTTTTAAACGGGTCTTAATTTTGTCTTGTCTTTGTAAAGCTACTCAATTTGGCCTGACATTCATCCAATGACCAACAATACATCTCTATAAAACCTTATTTTTTAAGATAAAGTTTTATATTGCAAAGAGATGCAATTTAAAATAGCTGTTAGACATTTTTACAGAAAATTCCCCAAGTTAAATTCCCTAATCAGGAAAAAATTATTAAAGACAAATAAATGATACCTCATGCTAATAATAAAAATAAAATAATAAAAATAAATCCTGTAGAAGTCTAAAATTGGATTCTTAATGGTCTTAAAAGTGTTTTAAAAGTTTTCCATTTGACTTTCTAAAACCTGCAGAAACCCTGATTATTACCAAAACTGATAATTCATCATTTATGATTCAAATTTGCAAAAAGTGATAAAAATATATACATAGTTTAAATGTGTGCTGATAAGATATGCTACATGTTACATTTAAAAGGCTACATAAAAATGTCACATTGTAATGTTTGTTTAACAATATTTTAACACTGCACACAGTTATATCTATGGTGTTTATACAGATGCCTGGCAATTATCTCTATTATTCTAAAGCAGATTTACTTCACAAGCATTCAGAGAATTAACTGGAGACTCACTCTGATTGGATCATTTAAATAAGTAAGTCGTTGACTTGAAAGATTGTTTAGTGTGATTTGTGTAAAGACTTAACAGGTTAACTTTTTTACCCCATTTATGAAATGTAGCACCTTTCATTAGCATCCACTGAAAACTGATTGGCAATACTGAGTTTCTGTCTGCGGAGGGGGGAGAGGATGACTCAACAGACAGGCCTTGAACTCTTGAACTATCCTGGACTTTTTATTTGTGGTAAAGAATTGATAAGAGATTTTGCAATGCGTTTGTTTTGTGTGCGCCTGTGTGTTCATCAGCAGTTTGTGAGATTTGTGATATGTACAATAACTGAAGCGTAGTCATCAGTGGAGTTGTGTGTGCGAGTTTTTTGCTGATTCCAATTGTCACTTCCTACAAATGTAGTTTCACAGGAAAGATCAAGTACACAGTCTTTTAATGGTCAACGGCACTTGTTACATGCACGCATAGGCTAATATTTGTCTACAAGTTCTTAAGCATTACCTGATTTTTTTTCTTTTTTAATATGGACCATTTTCTCAATGCATCTTCAGAAAAATTCATCCTCCTTTTTATTTTCTGCTTGACAATGTCATATGGTAAGTAGGTTATACTCTACTTTAATATCTTGTTTCTGAACATTTCTTTTGATTTGCATATTCCTGTCTGGTCAAAAGTGTGAGGTCTGTTTTTTTCATGTTTTGTTTTTTTAAAGAAAATTATTCTGTTCATCAAGGTGGCATATTTTAAATGTAAAAAGAGTTGTTAAATACTTATTTGTTACTTATTTATTTGTTACTTATTGTATGTATTTTTAAATGAAATTATTACTCCAGTGATCATTGCTTTTATTACTGTTACTATTAATAATAATAATTAATATTAGAGTGATTTTTGAAGGATTACGTGACTCTAAAGACTGGAGTAATGAAGCTAAAAATTCATAATTAAAATCACTGTAATAAATGGTTAAATTAAAAGATAAACTACTTTTGAACAGTTAATTTATAGTGCAATAACATTTCACAATTTTACCATTTTACTGTATTTCTGATTAAATAAATGCAGCCTTGTTGAGCAGAATAAGTTTATTTTAAAACATTTAAAAATCTTACTGACATCTAACTTTTGACCGGTAGTCTATGTAGAAACCATCACAGAGATTCTACAGGTTTTCGCTGCAAACATTACAAATCATACATTTTTTAAAAAATAATTAAAACCATTACATTTGCTTTCTAGTGTGTGTCCCAGAATGTAGTGATTGTTACCAAATGTAACAGATTACCGGTAAAGAGGCACACAGGCCATTGCAGTTTCCATTAAAACCATAATACAATTACTGTTTAAAAACAACATAGAAAATGTTGATTTTGATGGTTGTAAGCTTTGCTGTCATTTTTGTGTGAACTTTCTTTAAAATTGAGAGGCTTTTTTAAATTGCAGTAACGTTTCACAACTTTACTGTTTTAAATAGTCACATACATAGACAGCTTTTTAGCTTTAACTAGTTTTAAAATTATTGTACGAGCATAAGATTTGTTTTTTGTGGTTTTTCATTGGTTACGTGGAGAAATTATTTAAAAACAAGATCAAATACGTCAGAAAGCTTCATTTTTCCTTATGTGTTTTAAAGAAACAAATTGCGAGGTGAACATTGATGATTGTCTGAATCACCGCTGTCAGAATGGAGCCACATGCATAGATGGAGTGAACACCTACACTTGCCAGTGCCCACCTAAATGGACAGGTAAAAAAATAACTTAATCTTCTGTGTGGTTCTTGAATCTGATTGGCTGATAGTCAAGAGATATTCTCCAAATAATAGCACTCCTACAGCTTCTTCACCGTTCACCCTTGTGTATTACTCCACATACAGCATAAGCAGAGGACACTACAATTTGATAAATATTGCTTCTGTTGGACAACATAATTTACTTTTGAGGCTTTTTTTTAGCTGAGAATAGTTGTTTAGATTGCAACTATGCAATTTATTTATTAGGATAGTGACTATTTTAAAAAATGTAAAATTTTTGAGCTTCGAATCCAGTGCATCAGCCTGTTTGAGCTGACCAAAGAAAGTGACGGTTGACATTACAAGATGTCTACAGAGAGCGCATAAAAAGTCCTTAGAGGAGAACAACAGCATTTTCTCAGCGTATGTTTCAAACTACAGCTGAACAAATCGTTATAAATCAGGTAAGTGACATTCTAATATCTCTCTGTTTTGTAGTGCTGTTTTTGTACCACAGAAACTGGTAGTGTTCGCTTTGCTCTTTTTTTTTTTTTCGCAATTTTGGGGTTCATCAATATGAAATCACAAATACAATAGAAAAATACTGGGAAATGTCTCTAGACTGATGGCATTTCTTGTCATTCAGCCTTATAATCTTAAAATGTGAGCAAAATCACCTTTTTTTGTCTTACTTCAGACAGTACGCTGAGAATCATTCGAATACTGGCTCTAAAGTGATGTTTGTGAACTCCACTGTTCTGACGTCTGCTGTAAATGTGATTGAGTGGTGGAAGAAAGTAGTTCCTTGTACTAAAGGATTTTTGAGACTCTCCGTGTTTAATTTTCTTTTATAAACACAATTATACCGTCAAACTGTTGTATAAATGCAATATCATGTGAGTAGCAGTGCAATATGGCTGTATATCGGCACTGGTGGGGGGCACTAAGGCACTCGGCCTGCAGCCTCAAGCCAATGCACGCCTCCCACCAGTGCCAATATACAGCCATATTGTGCTGCTACTCGTGAGGTATTTCTCATACATATGATTCCTTTTAATTATTTAATCAAAGTGATCCACATTTATTTAAGGGTTCAGTGCAAACTTTGACACAAGCTAAAATGTTAGTGTTTTCAAATTGGAACTGATTTTCTTAAGTTATTCATACTTCATAATGTCAGCACAAACCTCTTTAAACCTTTAAAACATGCGATTGAAATAGTGACCCTATTGTCTCCAGGTCAGTTTTGCACTGATGATGTGGATGAATGCAGACTGCAGCCCAACGCCTGTCAGAACGGAGGCAAATGCAGTAACACACGCAACGGCTACAACTGTGAGTGTGTGAACGGCTGGAGCGGCCTGGACTGCTCTGAAAACATTGATGACTGTGCATATACGCCCTGCTTTGCCGGCTCCACTTGCATCGACCGTGTGGCTTCTTTCTTTTGCAGCTGCCCTCCCGGCAAGACTGGTCAGTAGCTCCATGAATAAATTTACAATAATTTAAGGTGCTGTATGCAAGTGTTTGACTCTCCAAAAGCATAAAAATAAATTATTTGTCTACAAATATTTTGGAAGCATACTAAATGAACATACTTGTATATCTGAAAAAACTCAGAAAAAACATGTACTAAGTCACGTAGCCTGTTCTCCTTTGAAAATGTGTTCCGTGTCAGTATGTCTCTCTTTGTAACTCCACGCACTGCCAGTTTACACAGTTATATTTTGGCACTGCCTTGATGGAAAAGGACGTATTTCATTTCAGTCACGAAGGCTGCCTCAATGTATGCAGGCACAGCTGAAAATACAAACTCGGACAGTAGCAGACTCCAAAATGAGATGCAGATTCAGAGTTATAAAAATGCACCTAAGGTGTTTTTTTATTTATTGCAAATAATAGTATCTGTAAATTCAATTCAGTTGTATTCAAGTTGGCTACATGGTGGTGCAGTGGGCACGTTCACCTCACAGCAAGAAGGTCGCTGGTTCGAGCCTTGACTGGGTCAGTTAGCATTTCTGTGTGGAGTTTGCATGTTCTCCCCGTGTTCGTGTGGGTTTCCTCAGGGTGCTCCAGTTTCCCCCACAAGTCCAAAGACATGCGGTACAGGTAAATTGGGTATGCTAAATTGGCCATGGTGTATGATTGTGTGTGTGAATGACTGTGTATGGATGTTTCCCAGTAATGGGTTGTGGCTGGAAGGGCATCCGCTGTGTAAAACATATGCTGGATAAGTTGGCGATTCATTCCGCTGTGGCAACCCCAGATTAATAAAGGCACTAAGCTGAAAAGAAATGGAATTTAATATTAAATGAATTCAAGTTTATTTGTTTAGCTCTTTTCACAATATTGTTTTAAAGCTACTTTACAAAAGGAGCCTTCTTTTGCATTACAATTAAATTCAGAATACCACAACTTTATAAGTTACTAATAACTTTAACTAATTAACTAGTAACTATAGCTTTTACAAGTTAAAGAGCCATGAAACCCCCCTCTTTCAGTTTAAGTCTACCTCCGATTTTTTTCCAAAAATGCTCTGAGATGGGCGTGGAGCTCTGCGGGCAGAGGGAGGAGGGGGCGATTTTGATCCCACCCCAAAAAGTGATTTTAAACCCAGAAGATGAACTTAGCTGACAAAAGCTCAAAATGATCCAGTTTTCCTCACAATTTAAGCTGACAGGTGCTAACGTCGTTATGGAACGACTCCACTTGTCTTAATTAAAGCTCTGTAAGATGTTTCCTGCCTTAGACCCACTGTGTGATAGATGCAAACAAACCCAGGCATCGCTTGGTCATATGTTTTAAAGTTGTTCTAAAATTGTTAATTATTGGATTTAAGTTTGTGAATTAATATCAGAAGCGGTGGGAAAACAAATGCCCTGGGCCTATTTTAGCTATATTTAATGTCAGTGATGATGCAGATTTATCTAATAATCAACGCACAGTGATTAGATTTATAACTCTTTTGGCAAGTAGATTGATTTTACTAAATTAAAAACGAAAAGATCCTCCATTTTGCTCCACATTAATAAAGGATGCCATATCATGTCTGCAACTTGAGAAGGTAAGGCTTTTCACAAAAATTAAAACAAAGAATTTCCTTGTAATATGGAATCCATTTATTGAGTACTTAAACAAAAAAACACCTTAAACATCCCCCCTTATTTAGTTTTTTTCTCTCTTCGTTCAGTTTTTTGACATTTCCCCCACTTTTCTTATTATTATTTTTGTTCTCTTACATATAATAATAACATGATGTTACAATTTTGTTTAAAAGGAAAAAAGTACACATATGTAAAAGGTATCATTTGTACTGATGTAAAAAAATACAATAAAGAGAATGTTAAAAAAACAGTTAAACAGTTTACCTGCAGTTCTATAGTATATATAAGGTGCTGTCTATGTGTACATGTTCAATGAAGTGTATTCGTAAACATTAGCTGTGCAATCTACCGTGTAAGGTTTGATTGTCTGACATGCTCACCATTATCCATGTCTATCTCTAATATATAAGTGTTGTCAGTCTGCCAACCGGCATTTACTTGGGTTTGTCAGAGGAGGGGTTGGGTGGAAAATAACCCTCTCTAATATTTTGAATTTGGACTGCAATAGGCCTACCTAATTTAATTACTAGGTGTCGCGTCACCTTTAAATGTTTTTATCTGTGAAGGTGTTTCTATACAGATGTGAGATTGATTGTTTTTCATCACAATTGATCTCAAATCAGTTGTAATAAGCATATTAATTGTATTCATGTTCAAGGTTTGCTGTGTCACCTTGATGATGCCTGCATCAGTAACCCCTGCAAGATGGGCGCTGAATGCGATACAAACCCTCTCAATGGCAAATTCTACTGTAACTGCCCTTTAGGATACAAGGGCAGGACATGCGAGGAGGATATAGACGAATGTGTTATCGGTGAGAAACGTTTGTCTCTGTTTCTTAATTTTTTTTCTCTGCATACACACACTTTCATTTCTTTACTATCTCTCTTTTCTGATCCACCAGGGCCAAACCCATGTGAGCATGGGGGCTTATGTAAAAACACAGAAGGCTCGTTCACCTGTTACTGTGCTTCAGGTTACACCGGCCCACGTTGTGAGCATAAAATTAAAGATTGTGACTTCAACCCCTGCCAGAATGATGCCAGGTGCTTTGTTGAGATGGGAAATTACAGCTGCATGTGCATGGCAAGGGCTTAAGACACACTGTGATCAGGTGCATGATTTGGAAACGGATAGGTCTCATTAATAATTTGTGCATAAGATATGATGCAAACATGCACAGCCTGTAAATCTCATGCGTAATCCCTAATAACAAAAATACAGTTATTCACAATAACTATGTACAATTATGCACAAGATTTATTTAAATTATAGGGGTTTATTATAAGGTCTGATTTTGCATATTATACTTGTGTAAATTGTCTTGGATTTTGAGACTTTTTCTTAAAAGGTTAAGGAAGTTCATTTTAAAGTCCTTCCTAAAATAAATCCTGCTAGAGATTAAAGTTCAAAACACTCTGATGAATATTCAGCTCCACAGATGTTAAATATCCCTTTGCTGATTTAAAAAAAATAAAATAAAAACAAAGGATCTATATCCATCTATCTTTCCATCATTCATTGTCTTCTGCTTATATGCGGCTGGGTCTCAGAGGAACCCCAGACTTCCCTCTCACCCGACAGTTCCTCCAGCTCCTCCTGGTGGTCTGAAGGTGTTCCCATGCAAGCAGAGAGACAGGGACCACTCAGTGTCCTGGATCTTCCCCTGGGCCTTCTCTCGGTGACAAGCCAGGAACACCTCCCTAGGTAGGCACCCAGGAGTAATCCAAAGCAGATGCTCAAGCCACCTCAACTGGCTTTTCTCTGCATGGAAGATTTCAGCCGTTTTAATGACTTTAAAATGCTGCTTATTACCACACCTGGTGTGTCCTTGTTCTATTTAAAAGCAAAACATGATGATAAAAATACAAGGAACAAAAATGTGGATTAACATCTTGGAGAAAAAAGCATTTATTTTTACCCTGCACAGCACTCACCAGCTGGCCTCCAGCTCACACATTCATTCAATTTTCTTTCGGCTTAGTCCCTTTATTAATCTCGAATCGCCACAGTAGAATGAATTGCCAATTTATCCAACATATATTTTACGCAGCGGATTCCCTTCCAGCTGCAACCCATCTCTTGGAAACATCCATACACACTCACACATACACCAACACTCATACACTACGGCCAATTTAGCTTACCCAATTCACCATACCACGTCTTTGGACTGTGGGGGAAACCGGAACACTTGGAGGAAATCCACGCGAATGCAGACAGAACATGCAAATTCCACACAGAAATGCCAACTGAGCCAGCCGAGACTCGAACCAGCGACCTTCTTGCTGTGAGGCGACAACACTATCTGCTGCGCCACTGCGTCGCCCCATCTCACTTTCTTAATTTAATTATGAATTATGTTTTAAGAATAATTTAGAGTAAATTACTCAAGTTATTTTTAGTAAATACTGTTACTATCAATAATATATATATATATATATATATATATATATATATATATATATATATATATATATATATATATATATATATATATATATATATATATATATTCATTCATAAATTTTCCTTTAGCCTAGTCCCTTATTTATCAGGGGTTGCCACAGTGGAATGAACTATTCCAGCATATATTTTACGCAACTGATGTCCTTCCAGCCGCAACCCATCACTGGGAAACACCCATACACTCCTGCACTCATACACTAAGGCCAATTTAGTTTATTCAATTCACCTATAGCGCATGTCTTTGGACTGTGGGGGAACCCGGAGCACCCCGAAGAAACCCACACGAACACAGGGAGAACATGCAAATACAGAAATTCCAAGTGGACCAGCCGGGACCTAAACCAGCGACCATCTTGCAGTGAGGCGACAGTGCTAACCACTGAGCCACTGTGCTGCCCATATTAATATGAATAAATGCTGTACTAGTGTCTTAAAATACTATAGTAAAATACTTAAATTAATATTTTGGGGATATTCTATGAATGGCAATACAAGAACTAATAGAAACTCTATAAATGGTAATACAAGAACTAATAGAAACAAATTACCAAATGCACTACCGTTTACTATAGTAAAAACTAAAGCAGGCTACACTATAGCATTTATTGCAGTTTATTACTATAGTTAATACTACAGTATGCTGCAGCATTAACTAAGAGTTGTAAAAATACACTTTAGTCTATTATTACTACACTATAGGCTTGTTTACTACAGTCTGTGTAAGTCCTACTTATGTTCCACTTGTTTAAATTTTAAACATCTAAAAAAAAACAACAATATTTTCTAACATTTTGAAGAAGAGCAGCTGTATAATCCTAATTCTTTCATCACACGTGAGGTTATGTCATTTCATGCACAGCCACCAGAGCGCGCGCGACTGCAGTTTATAAACCCCGACGCGCACTGTCCCAAACCCTTCCTGTTTTCGAGCCGGGCGCTAATTGGTTTCCGTTATTGTGCAAAGTTTTCAGCAAGACGGAAACAGAGAGAGAGAAAAAAAGAGTGATTTTAGACTACAAGCAAGACGAGGTGTTAACTCTTTTTTTTCCCCTGACTTTTTTGTTTGTTATACAGAGAACGAATCGCTGACGTTCTTTTGCCCAGTTTTGTCTCGTCGTCTGCAGGAAGTGGGCACAGCCGAAAAGAGAAGCTGCCACAGTAGCGTGCATCACAAACCACAGCGCTCAGTCTCAACTCTTCACCCCTCAGCTTCTCTTTGCACAGGGGGAAGTGGGAGTTTGCTGAGGCTGACCTGCTGATAAACACTACCAGGTCTTGAACTGTACTGGAGTTTTCTTCGTAAGAATGAATGAACATCAAAGAAACCCGTGCACGTGCTTCAGATTTAAGGGGGCATTTTTTCTTTATGTAGCAGTTGTTTTTGAGGTTTACGGAAAATTCAGTAATGCGCGTTAAGCAATGTTCTTCATGCTAACTATCGATATGCATCACAGGCACATGCTGATATAGGAGATTGGCAGTTCATGACCCAGCGGTCACCATCAGCGTTATCGACGTCCTCCCACACATATCTAAGATTGTTATAACTCTTTCTTTCGAGAAGTAAATCACTTCCGTCGAGACATACATAAAGTCCATAGTTTATAGAGTGAGAAAGTATTGAACATTCTCCCTTTTGAGGTCAAATTCTCTATGGAGCTGCACGCTGAGCAAAAGGTGACTGTTTTCTCATCTCACGTTCACCTTTGCAGAAAACCCTTATCTGACTGTGTATGTGTGTGTGTGTGTATGAGGGGAAGTGTTTGCATAATCTTGATCATATATGCTGCTTGAATGGTTTAGTGATACAGCCTGGTTGACATAGGCTGTGGCACAAACTTTTTAAAATCTATTTTCATGCTAGTACTTTATTTACTGTACACTCTCAGAAATGAAGGTATATGCGAGCTGTCACTGGGGTGGTGCCTTTTTAAAAGGTACACATTTGTACTTCTATGGTCCATATTGGTACCTCAAAAGTATGTATAAATATCTAAAAATTTTAAGAGGAACACTTTGGTAAGTACTCTTTAGGTATTATTATGAACCTTTAAGGTACAAATTTGTACCTTTTGAAAAGGTACCACCCCAGTGACAGCTCGCGTACCTTTATTTCTGAGAGTGTATGTAGCTACTGGTATCTTTTTCTATTAATATACAAGTACTTTTTTATTAGCTATTGGTGCTTTTTGCTACTACCTTTTAAAAATATATCACATTAGGCTTATTACTTAGCAGCAAGGGCGGATTTAACTAATAAGCAAAGTAAGCAGCCGCTAAGAGCCCCAGGAAATCTGGGAGCCCCAATAAATACCTACAAGTATAACTTATACACATAACATCATTTCTATCATATGTTCTATGGCAGTGGTTCTCAAACTGTAGTACGTGTATCACTAGTGGTATGCGGAGGAATGAAATATGGCATGTACATGCTACATATATTTCAAAATTTATCAAAAACGATGTATATAGTATGCCGTATATGAAATATAGCCTATATTTCTGAGGTAATTTGCCACATTTTGTTTTAACTGTGCAGAGTTTTAGCTGCTTTACTGGGCCTACTACACTACTGTATTTCAATACTGCTCATTTTGGTGGTACTTGGAAAGACAATTTTTTTCTGAGGTGGTACTTGGTGAAAAAAATTTGAGAACCACTGTTCTATGGTGAGGGTCTAATAAATTAAATGTAACGTAATTATAACTGCTACACAAATTTGTCTTAAACCCCTAATCATGGTGCCGTCAAGTCAGGTAAAGATTCGGTTTTAAAAACTATTTATTTTTTTCGATTTTCTTTTTTTTTTTTTTTTCAGTTGTGAACTAATTGTAAGAAAACAAATCATTTACAATGTAGAGTTTTCAATGGGATAAAACATGGAAAAGAGATTCATTGAAATAAGAAAAGAACAGCAAAATAAAATAAAATTATAAATCCACAAATGATTTCATTTTAGGACTGTTGGGCCCCGTGGCAGGAACTGCTTAGGGCCCCCAAATCACTAAATCTGCCCCTGATTAGCAAATACTGTAATTTATTCATTTGACATTTGTTTTGTTCAATATACTGTTACTTCTTCATTAGACACTAGTACTTATTCATAATATACTTGTACTTATTTTGGTTTTGACTAATAATAAAATCTGTCATTGAGATGTCAGTATACAATTGTGACTAGTAGACTTTAGATACTATGCATATTTTTCATATTTTTAGATACTAGTAGGCTACTTATTGTTAATACTCCAGTTTTTATTTGTTTGCTCCTAGTTATTAATAGATACTAGTTTTTATTTATGTTTTAAGGGTTAGTTTAAGTAACAATTCTCACTATTAACTTGTGGCTTAGTTGTTACCTGCCTATTATTAAGATTTTGGTTGATTACTAGGACTTATAATGTACATAGTCTCCATGCTCTTATTCTTCATCTCAAATTTGATTGATATATAACTCTGACAACCTTAAATTTCCTTATTACTATTAATAAGCAGCAAAGTAGGAATTTATTGAGGCCAAAGACAGTTCATGGTTTATTAATAGTGAGAATTGTACCTTAAAGGGCACCTATTTCACCTCTTTTACAAAATGTAAGATAAGCCTTTGGTGTCTCCAGATTGTGTCTGTAAAGTTTCAGCTCAAAATACTTATGATATTATTTATTATAGCCTCCAGAATATGCTCATTTTACATTTTACAGTGCAATTCTTCATGTAGCCTGTGGCTTTAAATGCAAATGAGCTGATTTTCCCCCGCCCACCGCTCTCACTTGTGTGTCTGCTCATCACGCATTACACAAATGCTGTTTGCAGTACACACACGTCTGAGTGTGTGTATATTAGGGCTGTGCAATGTGGACAAAATAATCGTATTGCGATTTTTATGAACGAATACTGCGATTGCGATTTTATTTGCCATTTTGGCAACTGTTTTTGCTTTTTTCAAACAAGCTACATACATACATACATACATTCTAAATGTATTAAGTGCACAAGAAGTGCATAATAAATCATTTCAATGAAATAACATAGTATTAAGT